ACGGCTAGCGCAGATAGCCCTCGTGTAGCTTTGCGCGAAATTCAAGACAAACATCAGCACACTTTTTAAAAGTTACGTTGTGCAATACCTGTGGTCCAACTGGACCGTAGCACAAAATTACCATTATAATAAGCTCTAGATTGAAATTACAAAAAAAAAGCAAAAACAGTTGCATTACAAGTTTTATTAGGGTTATCATGCAATGTGTAAAACATATATATTCTAGACGAAATATGTTGACAAATCAAGAAATTACAAAATTATACAATTCCTCAGTATACAAATAAGTAGTATTAAACAATTCCTTACACAAACAGTGTATCAAGTAAATGCTAAAGTTTTATCATACTTCGATATTCAAGTCATTATCCACCAATATATGATGAGATTACCACAATACTGCAAAATTTAACTCAAATAAAACTGAAACTGTACGTTGTGGGTCACCTAGGGTTCGACGAGACCCCAACACAAATGTATCCTTATAGTAGGCTACGTATTGAAGATCTAATAAGCAGGTTATCTACAACAATTAGCAAACAAGTTTTCTATAAACTAGGGCATTATAAGCAGTTTTTCCCTTTAAGCTGCGCGGCCACATACAACTAATCAAATGCTGCGTACTTAATTATTCCAGCCGCGCACATCCTCAGTAATGGTGAGGAGTCTCAATACGTTGACGGCCTTAATGTCCCTGGCAGTCGATAAACCTAAAGCCCAAATAACCAACTGGTAGCATTGCAGAGTGGCCTAATGATTCAATAGGGTTGATGGTCTAAAAATAGCCTCCACACACACACACCCAAAAAAAAACTGGCAACGCACATCCGCACATTTCCTGGATACTGGTGCATATGAAAAAAATTCATTCCGTGCATGGATTGAAAAAATTAGAGGGAACATTGATTATAAGCAGCCTTCACAGAGAACACTTGTTGAGGAATGAGATGTACGTACATGCTTACCACAATGATGTTATAAGAATATAAACCTAATTATACTGTACTACTTTTATGGATTATCCTCTATAATAGCCTATATAGTGAAATAAACGTTCAGAAATTTGCTTCGTATGCTATAGGGCGAACTACATGTATAGTGATGGTCAATGATAGTAAGAAGTCCACATGGATCCTAGATAATTATCTGATTATAGCTACGTACTCC